CCTCTGAGTTGTAGGGATTACAGGCTTGAACCATCGGTCTTTTTCTACCATAGCAGTCACTCTCAGTTATCCACCTTCATGGGGGAGATTTTCAGTCTGATTTGGGACTAATCCTAACAGAGTTTATGCAATGCTGGAGGCCAGGTTACTTCAATCCACGGTCCACAGCGCCCCCTCGTGGTCAGTATGTGAACTCATAGACAGAAACGCGTTCCACCTGATTTGCAAGGCAATTACAGTTAATCCTCATTTAAGATTGACAAACCAATCTTTTTAGAAACTTTGAAACATCCTTGCCTGAGATTCCAGCCACTCCTTCCTATACCTCTCTGCCAGATGTATGTAATTCAGTCCCCACTGCAAGAGGTCTCAGGGTCTCAGAAGGTGCTTGGCTAAAACTGAGGGTAGAAGGAACTGAAGGGGAATGCTGACTGTGCAGATACGGGGGACGTCATCTAAGCTGGGTTGAGACTTTTGGGGGTCACTCATGTTCCTGGAAGTAACCCCTCAACCATGGCCTGTAAGTAATTTAAACAAATTCACTCCTTTGCCAAGTTGGACTTTGATGACATCATTCCTTTGGTCTGTCATTTGTACCCTATCTGGGGTGATTAGATGTTTGTGTCTCTTAGGAAAAATTCATGCAAGAGGATGATGAACAAATAAAAGGATATCAGAAAGCAAGACACCTAGGGCTGGTGGTGCACTGGGGAGGCAGAGGCAGCGAATGTCTTTGCCGGGGTCAGCATCGTCTACTTAGGGAATGTTAGGTTAGCCAGAGCTAGATTGTGAGATCTTGTCTCAGAGAGGGGAGGTGGAGGACTGGAGAAATAGCTTAGTAGTTAAGAGCATTTGCTGCTCTTGTAGAGAACCCAAACTTGGTTCTCAGCATTCACATGGTGGCTCACAATTATCCATGACTCTGGTTCTGGAGGATCTAATACTCTCTTCTGGATTCTACAGGAATTAGACACATAATACAAGTAGACACTAAATCTAAAAATCTTTTTAAAAAGAAAGAAGACAGTGGGGATACCATGTAGGCCCATTTGCCTGGAAAAGAAATGTTCCATCAAGGAGATGGGTGTTCAGGAACTGGAGAGGCAACTGGGGTCTTAAGATTCTAAATTCAGCTGGGCAGTGGTGCACACTTTTAATCCCAGCTACATGAGACCCTGGAGAGAGATAGACGACATGAAGGCATAGGGAGATGATGGCCATCTGTAAGTCATCAATCCGTTCGACACAGACCCAACAGACGCACACCACCCAGCAGGGGCAGCCACAGTGACCCGTGGTTTGTGCATGGAAGCTCCAGGTAGTGAAAGTATGCTGGCTGCTTGTCTCTGACCAGGTTCTTCTTCTTGGGGTCTGGCAAATAGTACACATACCTTTCATTCAGCATCAACATGAAGATGGGCTGACATTATATGGGGCAGGGGTCCATTTGTCTTTGCTATAAGTCAAGGGTAGACTGAAGTAAAGTGAACAGACAGTAATGCTAGCTGGGGGAGGAGGAAGAGAAGGTACTCTCTCCACAGTCAGTCACTGTGTACCTCCTTTCCCTTGGTTTCCAAAACCTTCTACCTTAGTATCACAGGTGCAAACACTTTTATGGACAGGGTATCCTTGAGATGGCAGATGACATATAGTACCAAGTTTCTACTGAAGGACATTTTTTTTTTAGATTTTGTTTATTAAGAAATTTATTTAGTTTATGTATATGAGTACTCTGTCTGCACATACACCTTTATGCCAGAAGAGGGCATCAGATCCCACTACAGATGGCTGGTTGTGAGCCACCATGTGGTTGCTGAGAATTGAACTCAGGACCTCTGGAAGAGGAGCCAGTGCTCTTAATGGATGAGCCATCTCTCCAGTCCTGAAGGACATTTAAAAATGAACATAAGGGTATGGAGAGATGGCTCAGAGATTAAGAGCCTGCTCTTCTGAAGGTCCTGAGTTCAATTCCCAGCAACCACATGGTGGCTCACAACCATCTGTAATGAGGTCTGGTGCCCTCTTCTGACCTGCAGACATACACACAGACAGAATATTGTATACATAATAAATATATAAATATATAAAAAACGAACATGACAAGAGTTATGGAAAAAGTCTTAAATGAAACCTGGATGGCTGGAAGTAATGCACAACGTTAATACCAAATTCAGAGAGGGCAGGGATGCTTGGTTACTCTGTGCACTCAGTCAGTCAGTCTCTTTTTTGTTGTTTTTAACACAGAGTCTCTTCATGTAGCTCTGGCTGTCTTGGAACTCACCATATGGATCAGGCTGGCCTTGAACTCACAGAGATTCACTTGCCTCTGCCATCCAAGTGTTGGGATAAATGGGGCAAAGGTGTGCACCACAACCATCCAGCTTAGTCAGTTAGCCTCTTAAGTCCATCTACTCAAGCATCTGGAATGTTCTCAATACCACATGCTAACTCTACATAGGAACAGAAGTGGGCTGAGGGGAAATACCACTCATAAGCACAAATAAATTACAGGCCATTACAATAATTACAGAGGTACCTGATACATACCAAGATTTGACCAAAGAGTTGAGTGTTAGCTACAAAGCCCTATAGTGAAGTGAGCTGCATAGCTTTCTCCTTCACTGTTCTGAGGAAGGAAACACTGGGTGGGGTAACAAGAGCCTATAGTCCAAGACAAACTTTCCTTCTTTCTCAATCTTTTTGTTTTTTGACACAGGGTTTCTCTGTGTAACATCTCTGGCTGTCCTGGAACTCGCTCTGTAGACCAGGCTGGCTTCTCACTCACAGAGATCCACCTGACTCTGCCTTAGAGTGCTGTGATTAAAGGCATGTGCCACCATGCCCAGCTTTCTTTCTAGTTCTTACTGTCTACAACTACCTGACATTTCAGAATGCAAGACACTAGAACCAACCCAGGGAAAGGTGCTCTGACTCCAGTTCTTGGTATCCAGAGCACACCCTGGCATGCATCTTTAGAAAAAGGTGCTAAAGATAGCTTCCTATTCTTGCAATCCCTGTATTTGACAAACAGATAAACAAGGATGCCAGATATGTTTGCAAAGGGCAAAATGGTAAGTGCATCCAAATCTCCCAAGAAACATTATTCATGCAAAATATTTGAGTCTCCAAGGAATTCTCAGCATAGAGAAGTCAGGAGCCAATCAAAGGGCACCCCTGATGATTGACAGGAAAGGAGAAGGGAAAACTATAAAAACAGGACTGGGGCTGTCACTCAGTGACAGCTTGATTAGCATGTGTGAGGGCCTAGGATCAATCCCTAGTACCAGCAAAAACATCTAACAAATAAATGGGGGAGATCCACTTCAATCCTCCCAAAATTGTGTTAGTGGTTGCAAGAAATTACAAAGAACAACTCTGACCACTGACAATGCAAAAGAGCTTTTCGATTTAGCAATTTATAACAGCTAATAACACTTATGGGTGGAGGAGGCTCCTACTGCGTGTGACACTATAACATTCGCCTCACTGCATCCACTCTTTCCTGTAGGTAATGAGGTTTCTTGAAGTTTATCTTCCTGGAAATAGTATGAGGCAGATGGCACACAAAAAAAATCATCGGGTCCCCCTCCCCAACATAAGCAACATTATCCCCAAATGTTTTTGATAGGTCAGTGTCTTTTCATTTTTTTGAGAGGTAGCATTAAATACTTAGTTAAAATGTGAACGAATTCATCTAAAGCAGGGGACTTCAAATGTCTTTAACTTTTATATATCAGGGGAACAAGGGAGCTGGATGTGTGGGAAAGCAACATTACCATCCTAGCACTTGGGAGGCGGAGACAGGAGGACCACTAGTTCAAAGTCATTTTACACAACATAGTTTGAAACCAGCCTAGGCTACGCGAGATTTTGTCTTTGAACACACAAACACACACAATCAATACAAATAAACTTAAATACAACAAATTAAAAAAAAAGGAACAGGGAAGAGTTGAGTCTTTCATTGTCAGATCTCATCTGGGCAGACTTCTGGGAATTCACTGTCTAGGGAGTTGGATATGATCCAAGCAAGCTGTGGAATGAATGATATCAAGACAAGGCAATGCTTGCAGCCTTGCCACCGGGGTGGGGCAGAAACCCCTCTTTCTTGTTCGTAGCCAGAACCCATCACTCAACACAACGACAGGTCAGACACAGCTAGTGACAATGTTCAAGATTGGCTTGTATGCCAAGATAGGCTTGACCCAGACAATGGAAACTAGAGAGCGTGGTCCAAGATGCACCATTTTCTATTGCTTGGTGTGAAGAGGGATATATTGGATGATGTGCCAGGTGCTGAGAAGCTGCACCTGAGCAAGGCCTGGTCCTCAAGAGATCAGAGGTCCGCGTTTACATCAGTGTAAAGGCACGCGGCCAACACATATATTTGAGCTGGTGATGAGTTCTATGAAGGAAAGAAAATTGGGTGATGTGACTGTGAACTGGCGGGGGATGGAAGGTAAAAGATGTTTCCGGAGCGCGAGTAAACAATGCCTCTTCCTCTGAGTAGAGACAAGCCGAGTAGGTGCAAGGAGTAAGATGGGAAGTCAGGTCGGCTGATTAGGCCTCTGAGGTCCGGCCAGGCCCGCAGAACAAGTTTTGCGATGGGCTTTGCCAAAGCCTAGCACCGAAAGGCTTTCAGCGCCGTGCGGGACACAAAACAGTGAGACCACCGGCTGGCCGGAGATGTGGCTCTGGGTTGCGGACCTACCGCAGCAGGACCGGGGCTCAGGCCTGGTGGCAGATGACACACTAGGTCGAGGCTGTGGCCCAGCTCCGAAGTTCGGGCTCTACGCAGAAATGAAGAAGGGCGGAAGGCCGGAAAACAAAGAGCAAGCCTCCCGTCCCCGCGCGGCTCCCGCACGTCGCCATCATGACAGAGGGGGCGTGGCCTCGGGGGGCGGGGCCTGGCGAGACCCAAACAAGCCCACGTGCGGGCCGGTCCGTCGCGGTGACGTCACGGAGCGTTGGCGCGCTAGCGCGCGCGCGCGCCGGCCTTACCCTTGCCGCGGGCCGTAAAGCGCGGAAGGTCGCAGGCCCCTGCGGTCCCGGAACTTTCCGCTCTGCGTCCCGTTCCCCTCCCCATGCCCCGTCCCCCTTTCCGGCCCGCGCCGACCCTCTGTAGCTGTTGTGCTGCCTTCCATTTCCGCGGGGCGTTGCCGAACGCGCTCCCCGCACTGGCGGGCCTCCGAGGTAAGAAAGCGACTGCAACCTGCCGGTGGGGCGGCCTATCGCCCCGTGAACTCCTGCGTCCTCTACGCCCCTGTCCTCTGCGCTTTAGCCTCCGGGTCCCAGTTCTTCTCCTGGTCTCTAAGACCGTGTGGTTGGACGCGAGAGTTTCAGTCAGCGAAGCTGTGCGGAACCTCGGGGTCCCGCGCCGGCTACCCCGGGCCTGGGCGCGGGCTCCCCCAGGGCGGCTGGGCCTCGGGGCTGGTTGCAGCTTGGGCGGGCATGTACCTGCTGTCCCAGTCAGCTGGGTTCCCCACACGTGTGCGGGTGGAATTGTTTTCCCGCCCAGAAACGCACTGTTCGGTTGTGCCCTGCCAATTCTTGTCAGAGACTGAATCAAGGCGGTGGGGTTTCCAATGGGCGACTTGAGGGGACCGTTGTGTGTGATACTGAAGTTGGAGTCCACGGTCTCAAGCCCACTCTGAGCATTTCTGCAAACTCTTGCAATCTGGATGTATAGGGATGGCGTGTGGTCGAGGGTCCAGTTGGAAAGGCATCATTTTAGGGTCCGCTTTTTGGCGGCAGGGACTTGGTATCATTTTCTTAAACTGTTTTGAGCATCCGATGCATTTGTCGAAGAATACAGCATCCTGAACCCGCAGGATCAGACTGCAGAGGCAGATTCTGTTGCTTTTAAACTTATCCTGGTGATTCCCCTGCGTTACTTGTGGGAGATGTCCACATTCCGCCTTCATTCTTTGTGACCTGTGCCTCATCCTGTTACCAGAGGAAGAATTCAGCCCTTAGAACTGTCACTGGTTTTGTTTGTTTTTGACAGCTAGGGTCTCCCACGGTAGCCCAGGCACACCTGGAAGCTGGGACGTTCCTCTTGATTCAGCATCCGGTATGCTGGGATTACAGGTGGGAGCCTTGTTCCAGGATAGCGCTGTCACCTTGTTGGTGTAGGATCTGAGCAGAACAGTCTGGGTTTTAAGGCTGTTTAGACATCACTCTTACTTGTAGAGGTGCACAGTAATTTTCACGAAAATGTAAAAATTTTAAAACGTGCTGACGTTTCATTTCGAACGAGTTTGACATCTTCATTCTCTGTTTTCCTGGCTTTACCTTTTTTTTCCCCGTGGAGCTTTGCTTTGGTTTTGTTGCCAGACCTTTTGGAGCAGACGCTCATGCTGTCTCTTCCTGGTGTACTTTTATCCTTTTTAAGCTACTTTCTTTTTTATTATTAGATTTATTTTATGAGTATTTTGCCTACATGTGTGTATGTATGTATGCCCTGCGTGTATGCTTGTCAGAGAGAGCATTGGAGTCACTGGAACTGAAGTTACAGAGGATTATGAGCTCCCATGTGGGTGCTGGAAATTGAATCCAGGCCCTCCGCAAGAGCAAAAGGTGCTCCTGATACTGAGATGTCTCCCTGGTGCTCCTTTCTGGTGTACTCTAATCCCCAGTGCCCTCATCTCTTCACTCTCGAAGGTCATGGTCAGTAAAAAGTCAGCCGTCTTTTTCTTGACCTTAACAGGCTGGACATTGGGCATGAATATTCTTTCCTGAAGCTCCTGTTTGTTCTTTTCTTTCTTTCGCAGTGTGAACATAGGTTTATTAGGAAAAAGTGCAAAAGTGCTCTGGAGAATCGGAGGGAGGGTTCTCAGGGAGGAATGAATACTCTGTTATGTTTCTTTTACCTCTGCAGTTCTCTTTTCCAGCTAGGGAATGAGCTTCTGGTTCTGCCTCACAGCTGTTTAGTCTGAACTTACCTGAATTTCTTTGAAATGCAGTTTGAGCAGGTTGTGGTAGCCTCTGCCTTTAGTCCAAGCACTAGGGAGGCAGAGGCAGTGAACCTCTGTGAGGTCTAAGCCACCCTGGTTTACATAGCAAGTTCTAGGCCACTGGCTACAAAGTGACACCCTGTCTCAAACAATAACAACAAAACCCTCAAACAAAACAAAAAGAAAAGCAGTAGTATTAGTTATGATAAATGGTAGACTCTGATGCTAGATTTGCAAAGTTTAGTCATGAATTATAGAGTAGTTTACTTTATATAATTTTAATATAAAGTTTTACACATAAGTTTCCTAAAGTGTACAGCACAGATTATGTCTCTCCATAGGGTCGTGCTTAGATTAGTTGAATAGTTAGGACTTACCTTATACATCGTAACCACCATCAGAGATCAAAACTGGGACCTCATGCTTGCATAGCTGCCATTGTTGTGCCTTGAGCCATCTCTCCAAGCCCCTGTATGTGTTTATTGAGTTAGGGTCTCCTTCAGCCTGAATTTGCTGCATCTCCTAGGATGATCTTAAGTTCCTTCTCTTTTTGCCTCTTCTCACTGCTGGGATACAGTTGTTCACTGCCTTAGGAGTTCTATTTAATGAGGGAATGATATTCTTTTTCCTCTCTCCCTCCCCATTTCTCCCTCTTCTTTCTATCTCTCTGTTTTCTTCTCCCTACCCCGCTTTACAGCTTTCCACAACCATGTGAGATAGATATTTTTAATCCATGTAATAGATGAGGACCCTGACACACAAAAACCTGATCAAAGTCATACAGGTAATGAGATATAAGGAGATTTAACACCTACGTGTGCTTTAGACCTTGGATTCCCCCACTGGATTGCTGTATTACTCCTCCCTCAAATGCCTTACAGATAATTTGGGAGGATGAAAGTTCTGTTCTGGGAGAAGTACAGAATGTCCTGGGAGAACACAGAAGACTCCCTTTCCCAAATACATTATCATATAGGTGTGGAATAGGTTGTGTTCTGAAGAGATACCTTTGCTTGGCGGACAGGTGGCAGGAACTGTGCCAGATAGAGAAACAGTGCACACAGGTCCCAGGCATGGAGGAGAAAATTAAGTCTGACTTGTTTGAGGCGTTCCCAGTAGTCTCTTCTGGCTTGGTGAGGGTTTGAGAGGCAAGAACAGTGAGGCCAGAGATAAACGACATGGTGAAAAGTGTTGTATTTTCTAGTAAGGAGCTTTGACTTTTTCCTGCAGGCATCACCCTGTCACAGAAGGTTGTGAGAAGGGCCGCGGAAGACTGCACACACACTCCTGTGTGTGGATTTAGGTGTGGGAGGAAGGTGTTCACTAAAAGTAGAAGCTACAAGCCTAAAGGCTTGCTCATATGGTGGCAGGGGATTTGGAGAGGAGTAGATGGATCTGTGTGAGAGTTAGGAGGTAGACCAGATAGGGAAGATCCTGAGAAATCTTGGGATCCTTGGGGAAGAGGGGTGAGAAAGGGAGGAACCCAGGTGACACTCTGGATTCAGGTATGTGGAGCCCCTGGGTACACAGTGTAGCAAAGATGTGGAGGGAGGGTGTTTGTATTTGGATATGCTGGGATCAAGTGGGCATGGCCATTCTACACTTGATAAACAGATCATGCATCATGATGACATTAAAATCACCCTGGGGAAAGCTGGGAAGGCTCAGAGAAGAAGATAGGCTCAGGCAAGGAGGTGTGAGCCAGGAACTATAGAAGTGAAACCAGGAACCTGTACACAAGTGGAAAGGAGTGATCTGTGGTCTTCATCAACTGTGGTCAAGTGTGATGATGTGAGAGAGATATCCTCTGAAACCAGCAGATTGAGTACTCTAGTGTTGAAAAGTGTCAACACTATAGTAGGGCCAAAACTTGTTTTTTGTTGCAGGGGGGTGAGGAAGTTGGGGGTAGAATATTTCCTGTTTATTTATTTACTATCAGGTGAAAGATAGGTTTTTGAAAGTTTCATTTATTTATTTATTTGAGACAGGGTCTCACAACATAATGCTGGCTAACCTGGAGCTTGCTGACCAGACCATGCTGGCTTAACTGTGCTTGGGTTAAAGGTATGGTGCCACCATGCCCAGCAAGATTCTGTCTAATTTTTATTTTATTATTATTATATATTTTTATTTATTTTGGTTTGTCAAGACAAATTTTCTCTCTGTATAACAGCTCTGGATCTCTTGGAACTGGCTCTGTAGACTTGACTGGCCTCGAACTCACAGAGCCCTACCTGCCTCTTCCTCCCCAGTGCTGTGATTAAAGGTGTGCATCACCACAGCCAGGTGTGTCATGTCTTATTTTTAATGTAGTGTTCGTATGAAACACAAGGTCTCAAGTATTGGACAATGGTTTGTTTTGCCACTCAACAAATTTATTCACCCAAGAATTTTTTTTTTTTAATGATCTCTCTACATAGACCTGGTTGTCCTATATAGACCAGGCTGACTTTAAACAGAAATCCAGAGATCTGCCTGCCTTTGCCTCTTGAGTGCTGAGATTAAAGGTGTGTACCAGCACTCCCAGCCTCAAGAATAGATTTTTGTTTAAAAAATTCAGTTGGGGATTGGAGAGGTGGCTCAGTGGTTAAGAGAACTGACTGTTCTTCCAAAGTGCCTAGGTTCAATTCCCTGTATCCACATGGCAGCAATAGTCTGTAACTTCAGTTCCAAGGGAATCTGGTGGCCCCTTTTCTTTTCTTTTTCTTTCTTTCGTTCTTTCTTTTGTTTTTTTTTTTTTTTTTGGCTTTCTCGGGCACTGCACACATGTGTTGCATAGTCAAATGTGCAAGTAATACACTCAAACACATAAAACAAAGAAGCAAACAAACAAGCAAAAGGCTCAGTGGTAGAACTAGGGTGGTACACACCTGTGATCTTCACTTTGGAATGTATATGTAGGAATATCAAGAGGTCATTCATGGCTGCATAGTCTAGTATACTAAGATTTTTGTCTCAAAAAGAGCAAGGACAAAAATCTCAGTGGCCATTTGTCTAGTCACAAGGATGAGGAAATTGGAATTTAGGGTTTGGATGGTAGAAGACAAAAGTCTAAGAAATTACCATGCACACTGGTATTGATGGTTGTGATATGGGAACTCCTAGTTTCTTTCTGTATTTGATTTTTTTTTTTTGAGACAGGGTATTTCTGTGTATCTCTGGCTATCCTGGAACTCACTCTGTAGACCAGGCTGGCCTCGAACTCACAGAGATCTGCTTGCCTCTTTCTGAGTGCTGGTATTAAAAGTGTGCGCCACCATTGCTCGGCTTGTATTTGAATTTTTGCAATGACTAATTTGTACAATTTCAAATTTTTTTGTAATAAAAATTTTATGATAGAAAGCTTTTGTTTCTTTTATTACATTATGTAGTGGGAACTTGAGCTTATTACCATGCTGAAGAGAAGGAGCAAATTGCAGGAAATGATTGATTGCAGGATGTAAAAGAGACCAGTGAATTGGGCTGAGGTGCAGAGAAGGCAGATGAAGGGGTTCTAACACTTGTGGAGAGACTGTCAACCTATTGAATGTTTCAGGAATGCATGGGGAGAGACGAAAGCTGGTATATAAAAGACATAGAGAAGAGCATGTTTGCAGAACCCTGAATAGAAATTCTTGTAGTTTTCCTTGTTGTGTCCTAGAGTGGATACAGGCCTGTTAACTTGAGTCACAAAGGAGCAGAGATGGCTTAATTAGGTTTCTATTCCTATGATAAAACACCATGACCCAAAGCAACTTTTATTTCTTCTTACAAATCACAGGTCCATCATCCAGGGAAGTCAGGGCAGAAACACATGGCAGGAACTGGTGTGGAGGCCGTGGAGGAAGCTTACTCCCCAAAGCTTGTTCAGCTTGCTTTTTATTTGTTTGTCTGAGACAGGGTTTCTCTCTGTTTCCCTCCCTGGCTGTCCTGGAACTCATTCTATAGACCAAGTTGGCCTCAAACTCACAGAGAACCACCTGCCTCTGCCTCCCAAGTGCTGGGATTAAAGGAATGAACCACCATGCGTGACTGATCAACCTGTTTTCTTAAACATGTAGGACCACCTGCCCAGGGATGACAACTGACAACTGTCTAGTTACCTGGGCCTTCCCATATCAATCACCAATCAAGAAAATATATCACAGATTTGCCCATAGATCAGTCTGGTAGGGGCATTTTCTCAGTTGAGGTTCCCCCTACCAAATGACTCTGATTTGTGTCAAGCTGACATAAAACCAATCAACACTATGGTTTTTTCCAAGCATGACCAAATGTTAATGGTTGATATTGGAATAGGAAGAACAGGCAATAGAACAGGGCTAAGATAATGTGTAGCATTGTCTTCTCCAGGGAGAGCTGTGTTCCCTTTGGGATAGGAGGTAGAGAGAATGTTAGTAAAACTTGCAAATGTGGCCTAGAAGACCCAGTGGAGAATTTGAGATGAGGTTGGATTTATAGATAGAAGCTGGTTATATGAAGATTAGATTTCAAACAACTACTCAAATAGAAAAATTTATATTTCCCTTTTGTTTTTGTTTTGTTTTTTTAGACGGTGTCTTGTGTAACAACCTTGACTGTCCCAGAACTTGCTCTGTACACCAGGTTGGCCTAAAACTCCCAGAGATCCACCTGCCTCTGCCTCCCAAGTGCGAGAATTAGAGGCTTGCTCCACTACCACCTAGCTTTGATGTTATTTTTGTCTTGGAATTTTTTAAGATGTGGTTAGTCTGCAAATATCAAAACCTTCCTGCTTTAGCTTCCAAAGTGCTGGGTGATAGTTATGGTATAGATAGTATACCAGACTGTAAAACTTGAGGCAGAGCCTAACAGGAAGCCAGAAGTGATATTGGTCTCCATTTGAATGAGATTTTTCTCTGTGTACCCTGTCTGCCCAGTTCTGAGTGCTAGAGAGCTGGCACAGTCGTTAAGAGCATTGACTGCTCTTCTAAGGGACCCTGGTTTGATTCCCAGCACCCACATGAGACTCAACAACCGTCTGTAACCTCAGTCCTAGCAGATCTGATACCCTCTTCTGACCTTCTAAGGCACCATGTATACGTGTGGTGCACAGATATACATGCACACAAAACATTCATGTATAAAAATAAATCTAGAAGACATTTAAAAAAGATTGCAGTTCTGAGTCCTATCTGATGGTGTGTCTTTGTCTTTGCCCTTAGAGGACATGGGCCAATGGGGAGTCTGTAGTGGAGGGGGTGGCAGCTTTACTAGCAGTGTGCTGCTCTGATTCTCACATATCTACCATCCTGTGTCTTAAGCTCTTTAATGCTGGCATAGTCTGCCAGTAGGTCAGCCTTTTGGTTTTTTGAGACAGGGTCTCTCTGTAGCTTTGGAGCCTGTCTTGGAACTAACTCTTGTAGACCAGGCTGGCCTCGAACTCACAGAGATCCACCCACCTCTGCCTTCCTAGTGCTGGGATTAAAGGCGTGCGCCACCACTGCCCAGCTCTTTTTTTTTTCTTGAGACTTAAATAGTTCTCTGTATTTCTGTTAGATTTTGTCAAAACCCTACCTTTTTGTTTTCAACCAGTAGTAATTTGTATACTAGACCATATCAGATCATAGTAATTTGTATACTAGACCATATCAGATCAAATATTCAATCTCTTGTGGTTGGGTTCTTCCTTCAGTTCCTTTTACCCAGCATACGCTTGTTTCCTTATTGCCATTCTAAGCAGATATGATAGTCAGATCTGTTCTGTTGTCTTTGTGTGTTTTCCATGTCTTTGTCTCTGTCCAGACTTTAGTCTTCCAAGAGTCAACTTAAATCCTACTTTGATGACCCTTTTCCTGATGACCTTAACCTTTGCCCTTTTCTTTAGCCTATTAATATTATCTTGTAGAAATATGTATGACGTAGCCAGGCAATGGTTAGCCACACCTTTGATTCCAGTACTTGGAATGCAGAGGCAAGTGCATCTCTATGAGTTCAAGACCAGCCTGTTCTACAGAGTGAGTTTCAGGATAGCAAAGAGAAACCCTGTCTCAGAAAACAAAACGAAACAAAAAGAAATATGTATGATTTGTGTGTAAATGATAAGCTGAAACCCTAAGGGGCTGGAGAGATGGCTCAGAGGTTAAGAGCACTGGCTGCTCTTCCAGAGGTCCTGAGTTCAATTCCCAGCAACCACATGGTGGTTCACAGCCATCTATAATGGGATCTGGTGCCTCTTCTGACAGAACACTGTATACTTAATAAATAAAATCTTTTAAAAAGGGCAACATCATTAAAAAAAACAAAAACAAAAACCCTTTTCGTTCTTTCCATGGAATGGCGTCTAATACTTTAGTCTTTACTGTTTCCTTTGGGTCAATCCCAAGCCGCTTTCACTGGGTTCTGGGTCCTGTCTCTTCTTTTCCTAAGGACTCTGTTCTTTGTTTTTCAATCTCCCTAGCTCTCCCTAGCACTTCTGCTGGACTCAGGTTATGAGGCTCCATGGCAAAGTGCCTCCACCCACCAAGTTATCTCACTGGCTCTTATTCTTATTCTTTCTGTCTGTGTCTTTCTGTCCGTCAGTATCTATCTTTAGATAAGATTTCTAACCCAAGCTGGCCTGAAAATCTCGGTGTAGCTGAGGATGATCTTGGACTTCTGTGGATCCTCATTTCTCCACCTCTCAAGTACTAGAATTATAGGCTGTTCTGCTAGGCCTAGATTAGGCTTCTTTATGCTTGTTTTTTGTTGGCCTGCTTGCTTGCTGCTGCTGCTGGTGGTGGTGGTGGTGGTGGTGGGGTGTGTGTGTGTGTGTTGTTTTTTTGAAACAGGATCTCCCTATGTAGTTCTGGCTCTCCAGGAACTTTTTGTTTAGACCAGACTGACCTTGAACTCAGAGATCCTCCTTCCTAAACCTCTAGAGTTTAATCCTCTGTGACTAAAATCCTCTGTGTGCCACCATGACTGGTTTTTCTTTCTTTTTTTCTTTCTTTTTTTTTTTTTTGTTAAATCCTTTTCTCTTAGTTCTAAGAACTGAGTTAAATGGAGTGAAAAATGTTTGTTTTTGTTTTTTTTAGTTTGGATTCTTTGGATCTTCTCAGCTGAGTGAAACCCTATCTCCCAGTTGGTGATGCTTTACCGGTTGCTTTCGATTGTCCAAAGACAAAGAACTAGCCCAGGATGGCAGACCTGGTCATCAGCAAGAAGCAGCACATCTGCTGCCGAGGCACATTCTATTGCCTTGCCTGCCCAGGCCCAGGTGGTCATCTGTGGGGGTGGAATCATGGGTACATCCGTGGCCTATCACCTCTCCAAAATGGGGTGGCAGAATATTGTCCTTTTGGAGCAGGGCAGGTAAGGATCAGATTGGCTTGTCTTGGGGTTTGGCTGCAATAACAGTATAGGTAGGGCTCCTTTATTTTCTGACTTTCCATAATGTCATACCTGTAGGTCATCTAAATGTTGTACACTAGTGAGAGAATATTCAGGTGAAATCTACCCTGTGGTTAGCTGTGTCTAGCACTTATGTTCTCTGCATTTTAGAAAGGTAGTCAATGTCAGTAGCGTGTCTAAGAGGACGTGCTTTCAGAGCACAGCTGTCTTCCCCTCTGCTGTCACCCTCCTCACACTGCACAGTTGCATCCTGTGCTCTTGAGCTGAACAAAATTCTGACCATTTTCTTTTATTAATTTTCATTTAATTCAGCATAGTTTTAGTTTTAATGGGTTTGAGAGAGCCTAGGAGTTAAAAGCACTGGATACTCTTCTAAAGGACCCAGGTTGGTTCCCAGCACCCATGTGGCATGTCATGGTCATCTGAACTACAGTTCCAGGGGATCTTACACCCTCTTCTGGCCTCTGTGAGCATGAGGCACACATGTGGTACGGAGATATATGTAAACAAAACACTCATACACATAAAAATAGATAAAAAGAGTAGTATAATAATGTGGGGTGTATATGTGTACGGGTGGTCTCCACCTTTGTCTTTTTGGGGTGGGTAAAGATTTTTTGGGGGGGTTTGAGACAGGGTTTCTCTGTAGCTTTGGAGCCTGTCCTAGAACTAGCTCTTGTAGACCAGACTGGCCTCAAACTCACAGAGATCCGCCTGCCTCTGCCTCCTGAGTGCTGGGATTAGAGCCCAGCAAACCTGGGTCATTTGTAAGAACAACCAGTGCTCTTAACCTGCTGAAACTTCTCTAGTGCTGGACCCTGAACTTATGTCAGTAGGTACAAGTGAACCTTTCTAACAGTATTTTGCTCCTGTGCTGCAGGCTGGCTGCTGGCTCGACAAGGTTCTGTGCTGGCATCCTAAGCACTGCTAGGCATTCAAGTATTGAACAAAAGATGGCAGACTATTCAAACAAACTCTACCATCAGTTAGAGCAAGAAACAGGGATTCAAACAGGTAAGCAGGTAATCTGCTGTTTATTGGTCTTCTTGTCTCTAAATCCTTACTCCATAGTTGCTGTGTGGTCTTGTACTTTATCTGATCTGGTGATTAAGACTTGGGTTTGAAAATTTGCCTCAATTCAGGGTGTTCCTTTGGGCAGGTCATATAACTTGCCTTCAACTTCTTTACCTATAGAGAACAGAAATTAGTCAGTAACCCAGGTCATTTTCAGGATCTATAACTTTTGTATTTTATTTATTTATTTATTTATTTATTTATTTATTTATTTATTTATTTATTTTTTGGTGGGAGTGCTTGGAATTGAACCTAGGACCTGTATGCAGATCCTATCATTATCATGATAAGAAAGTTTTCCTAGGCCATTTAAAAAATATATTTCAATCATTTAGATATAGTAAAGGGTAGCACTTCGCTCCTAAACAAGAGAAGGAAAAAGAGCATATGTTCAGGTCTTAGCAATTAAATCACAGTTCAACTCAGCTTATTGTTTGGCTGTACTGGGGAAGGAGTGGGGATCTGACTCTCTGGTGATCAGTGTTATGAATGACTTTTACCAAAGAATGTACTTCCACCAAGACTAGAAAGGAAAGAAGTAAACTATCTAATAAAGAGATGAGTTCTTGCCCTAGTAAGACTTTTAGCCATAGTAACTTTTGTTATTGTTATGAGTGCTTTATTTTTTAAATTGCTTATTTTAATTTTATGTGCATTGGTGCCCCACCTGCACATTTGTCTGTGTGAGGGTATCAGATCTTGGAGTCACACAGTTGTGAGCTGCCATGTGGGTGCTGGGAATTGAACCCAGACCTCTGGAAGAGCAGTCATTGCTCCCAGCCACTGAGCCATCTCTCTAGCCCATGAGTGCTTTTATATATGTTAGAATTCTAGTTGACGCTCACAAAAGTGTGAGCTGAAAGTAGTTTTGTCTCTGATGTGTTGTAAATTCTGGTAGAAGCCCAAAGGGAGCAAATTCATTTACTCAAGGATAGTAAATAGAAGCACTTGGGTTATAGGAGGTCTAACCTATAAATCTAGTGGATCCCGCTGGACTGATCACTTGATTGACTATTCTTACAGGGTACTTAAGGACAGGCTCAATCTCTCTGGCCCAAACTCAAGACCGGTTGATCTCTCTGAAGCGTATCAACTCAAGGCTGAAGTATGTAAGAGACTAGACACTGTCCAGACTTGACCCACTTGACTCTGTCATAGAGCCCATGAATGTCTTTGTCCCTTTGTGTTCTGTGGCAGTGTTGTAGGTATCCCTTCTGAGATCATCTCCCCGAAGAAAGTGGCTGAACTTCACCCTCTTCTCAATGTGCACGATCTGGTGGGGGCCATGCATGTTCCTGAGGATGCAGTGGTGTCCTCTGCTGATGTGGCTCTTGCCCTGGCAAGTGCTGCCTCCCAGAATGGTGAGTGGGTCTTTTTATTTATTTGTTTATTTATTTTTGTTGTAACTATCATTTGCATGGATTTGGAAAGAAGAGGTTATCTAAGAGAGTGTACCATGGTAGGGAACACCACCAGCTCAGGTATGGAGAAAGCATCTTCATTGGGATATTCAGTTTTCCTGTTTTGATTACTGTACTGTGTTTTTTAGTTGATCCATTGAATATTTTCCTTAGAGTTAATTTTTTGTTGTTGTTGTTGTTCCAAGGAGCTACTTGTGTGCTGATTCATAGACATCAGATTTATGAGAGTCCCTGCCACTGAACTTGAGAAGTGCCAAGGCTAGAGAAAAATTTGGTAGTTTAATCTATAGCTTAAATGTGATCCAGAGTAAATCAGAAAAAGACTTCCTACTGTCTAGAGTGTTACATATACTTTATGATTCATTATAGCGCTGGGGATTGAACACAGGGCTTTTTGCGAGGTAGGCAGGTGTTCTGCTACTAACCTATATTCCTTGCCTTTGATTTTTTTTTTTTTATTAAAGTAGAGTTTCACTATTCAGGCTGTCTTGGAACTTGCCACGTAGCCAGATCTCAGACTCCTGAGTACTGGATTACAGGTGTACAGCATCATTCTGTGCCGAGGTTTTGTTTGTTTAAGTACTGACCCAGTTTCTCCAGTGCCCCTTTGGAGCAGAGATTCTGCTTCAGAGACCTTAATTCTGTAACATCAAATAATTTGTGCGCACCCTCCCTCCCCAGGGTTTCTGTGTGCAGCCCTGGCTGTCCTGGAACTTGCTCTGTAGATCAGGCTGGCCTCAAACTCAGAGATCTTCCTGCTTCTGCCTTGGTGTGCTGGAGTTAAAGGTGTGCACACCACTGCCCACTAATTGCTCACCTTCTTTTTCTTTATTTTGGAACAGGTGTTCAGATTTATGATCGGACAAGTGTTCTTCATGTATTGATCAAAAAAGGTCGAGTTACTGGTGTGGAGACAGATAAAGGACAGATTGAATGCCAGTATTTTGTCAACTGTGCTGGTCAGGTAGGTTGACCATGGCACTAGGTTTCTGACTTTGTTTTTGTGACTTTGTTTAACTTGGAGTTTTTGTGTAGAGATATGATTGTCGTTTTACTGATTAAAGAGACACCAGGCATTACACTGCTTATTTGTACTAGGAATACAATCCAGAATTGTATTCTAAACCAGAAACCTATTCTTAGTTTACAGATATAGGCAGCTCTCCACACTGGGTAAAGTAGTGCCATCCTAGTCAGAAGACCACCAAATAGGCATTAGCATGAATCATGGTTTTAGAGCTAAATTTATATGATGTTACATTTCATTTTAAAAACTCAAATATAAATCAGAACAATGGATCCAGTTTCTAGAATGTAAGCTGCTTCTACTTCTGAGGCAGACTGGTCATTTGTTCTCTACTCTGCAGTCTAAAGCAGATGTTGGAATACTTTCTGCTACAGATCGTGTATTTAATGGTTGGTGTTTGGGGTTTTTAGTTGATGCCCGACGTTATATTTAGAGGGCTTCTTTTGACTAGGAAATCCATCTTCTTTTCATTGAAAAAGACAATTTTATGCTTTAAAAAGTGAAGCATTGCTCACTGTTTAAATAATTGAACTAGATAGAGTAGGCTGAACTTGACTTCCCCTACCTGACACTGCAGAAGGAGCGCTCAGGTCACTTTAAATTATCTTAAGAGGCTGAACTTGCTCATTTGTGTTTCTGTTCCTCTTCCCACCTACAAATTGTCCATTGTAGTGGGCATATGAGCTGGGTCTGTCCAACGAGGAGCCGGTGAGTATCCCGCTACATGCCTGTGAACACTTCTACCTTCTGACTCGTCCCTGGGACACCCCTCTGCAGAGCAACACACCAAGTGAGGACTTGTACTTTCTTTTTTTTTTTTTCCTTTTAAAATAATTTTATCTCTTTGTTGATATTCTGTCCTTTGAAAGGAAGACTTTTCATTAAGGACACATTATGCCTAGAGGAATTTTTTCTTTTCTGGAACATGTTACAGGGAGGTGGATCCAGTTTTAACTTTCCTTTGATGACGTCTTAGGAAAAGATGGCCAAAATGAACATGCTATTAAACAGTTTTTTGTTTATTTTTGTTGTTGTTGTCTTATAAGCTAATTTAAGTCCTAATAGAGGTCACTGAGAATTTTGGAATATCACTTTTGCCTTTTAACTTGAATGGTATCAGTTGTAGAAGGGTATAGGTAGGCTATATACTTAATTTAATGGTTACAAACCACTGAAGGGAAAGGGATGGGATTTGTTTTGTTTAATTTTTGATTTTTTGAGACAAGGTTTCTGTGTCGCCCAGGCTATTCTGGAACTCTGTTGAACAGGCTGGCCTCAAACTCAGATTCCCCTGCTTTCTGAATGCTGTGATTAAAGGCATGTGTCACCACTGTCTGGTCTTATTTTATTTTTTGAGACAGGGTCTCATTGTATAGTCCTGGCTGGCCTGAAACTTACTTTTGTGTGCATGGAGGCAGAGACAGACATGCCTATCTTAGAAGGCTTTTGATAACCTTTTCAGAGAATGAACTCTGTGCCTCCCATTCCTGTTAGACTTTGGCTAGGTACGGTGATGGTAATATAGTTTGGTTGTGAAGTATTGGCAAAACTTTTAGGTTCCCAGTCATGTTTGGGATAATTGGAGAAGCCCTCTTCTCTGTAATTCTTCTTCATGACTTCCAGTGGTATTTTAAAACTAATGGATAACTATATTTATTGCATGCTGGGCTGTTAGTAAAGTCATTCATGAGTGTTTTCTTCCTCTCTTCATCTCAGAATCTGGCTGGTTTCTAACCCCTTGTTTTTCTCCTTATCCTACTTCCTTGTATTTCTCTTCTTCTTCAGCTATTGTGGATGCTGATGGAAGAATTTACATCAGGAACTGGCAGGGTGGCATATTGTCTGGAGGCTTTGAGAAGAACCCAAAACCTATTTTTACTGAGGGCAAGAACCAGTTGGAAATTCAGAACCTGAGGGAAGATTGGGATCACTTTGGTATGTGAAGTAAACTATAATAACAATGCCTTCTACTTTTCTGTTACATTTTTTCAAGGCATTTTCATGAATAATTCTTTGTTTATCTTTAAGACAACTCCAGGAAACATGATAGTAATCATGAAAAATAGTCTAGAGTTTACCTGATCTAAGGATGTGGTTACTGTTGGACTCAGGGGTCTACAGTCTTGTTTGATGAACTTGACTCATCATTTACTTAATTCACTGCTGATACTTTAGAAGGGGACCTTCTTTTGATAAGACTTATGAAATTGAAGAGGTTTTTATGAAGCTGAACTATTAGCTAGGCATGATTACTTCTCTGTGAATAATCACAACATGTGGAAGGCTGAGGCAGGAGGATTGTGAAGTAGATTTTTTTGATAATATGGTCATTATTAAGTCTTTAAATCACTTTAATTGTCTTTATTAAGTAATTATTGTAGTTACATGGTTATAATTTGAAAGGGTATGAAAAGATACCCATCTCTGATCCTTGATGGACTTTAAAAAAAATAAGATGCTACTTAGGGGAAACTTTAAACCCTTTGCCCATCAACCAGTTATTCCTGTTTCCATGTATTACTGCTGCCACATGGAACAGTAGTAAACATTGTCTTTCATGGAAACATTAGGTAGTCTGTAAGACCTTTTCCCCACACCCTGACCCTTTGAGATCACTGCCTGTGTGTATCCTCATGTATCACTTTATGTTCTGAAGCGCCTTGCCTTTGAAAAGTGTGGCTTTTCTTACTCTGAAAGCCAGGCATTTTGTAGTTGTGTTCTGTAATTCCACCAAACTTTCTTCTTTCTCATAAATGACCAAATGACTCTTAGGAAAGTCTTCCCTAAAAGATTTTTTTGGGAGGAGTAAAAACTATAAGAACTTTAAAAATTTTAATTCCCTAAAGGTGAGGACTCTGTTTGGGTTTGTTTTGATTGCTCAGAGCCCCTGTTGAGTTCCCTCCTGCGTAGGATGCCAGTATTGGAGACTCTGGAGATTTTGAAGTTGGTGAATTGCCCTGAGACCTTCACACCAGACATGAAGTGCATCATGGGCGAGTCTCCTGTAGTACAGGGCTACTTTGTCCTGGCAGGGATGAACTCTGCTGGCCTGTCGTTGGGTGGAGGAGCTGGAAAGTAAGTCTTTTTTCCATAGAGTCACCTGTGGACACCTTAGCTTGCCAGGTTCTTCCCTTTCAGGTTACTTGTTGTTAATATGTTCTGTAATCAGATAGTAATGTTAATAATAATAATAAACATTTTTGAGTTGTTATCTTCAAATTAATTACTTTGGAGAGTTTCCTTGCATTCCATAAATGTTATTATATAAAATATTTTGGAAACTCAGTCATTTAGTTAGTCACAGAACCTGTGAAATTTTTTTCTTTTAACTTTTCAGTTGTAACAGATGTTAGTGTTTTGATCATATAAGGTTAGAAATAGCTGGGTATGGTAAATGAAATAGGCAATCAGCCTAGGCAATTAAAATTTTAGTTTAAGAATAGGTACTTAAAATCAGCTAGGGGATGGGTGGTGGTGGTGCACACCTTTAACCCCAGCACTCAGGAGGCAGAGGCAGGCAGATCTCTGAGTTTAAGGCCATCCTGGTTTACAGAGCGAGTTCCAGAACAGGTTCCCAAAGCTACACAGAGAAACTTTATCTCAAAAAAACCAAAACAAAATAAAAAATCAGCTAGGGATGGTGTCACACGCTTTTAATCCAATCTGCGGAGGCAGAGGCAGAGGCAGGTAGAACTCTGTAAATTTGAGGCCAGTCTGATCCATGAAGAGAGTTCCAGGCCAGTCAGGATTACATGGTGAGACCTTGTTTAAAATAAAAAATAAGCCAGTCACAGAAGGATACAAATACTGTACATTTATGTGGGGTCCTTAGAGTAGTCCTAGAAACAGAAAAAAAGTAGTATTTGCTAGGGGAAAAGGGGAGTTATTATTCGATAGGTCTAGTGTTTCAGTTTTACAAGATGAAATGAGTTCTAGAAATGGATTATGGCTATGGTTACACAGTAGTGTGAATGTACTTAATCTTAATTCCGCTGAGCCACACACTTAACAATAGGTGATTTGTTGTCCTTGCTGCATCCTACAATCCCAGATCTTGGGAGAAAGTTACCAGATCGATCTGGTGGCACATGCTTGTAATCCTAGGAGTCTGAGGGAGAGGATTGCAGTGAGTTTGAGGACAGCCTGGACTACACAGTAATTTCCATTCAGCTTGGGTTAAGAGTGAGAAACTGGGCCGGGCGTGGTGGTGCATGCCTTTGATCCTAGCACTTGTGGAGGAAAAGGTGGGCAGATCTCTGAGTGCTAGACCAGCCTGATCTATAGATTGAATTCCAGGACTGCCAGGGTAGTTACATAGAGAAGCCCTGTCTTGAAAATCCAAAAAGAAAAAAATAGTAAGTAACTGTTTTTAAAAACCCAACAACTCAGGCTGGAGAGGTAGCTCAGCGTTTAAGAGCACTGGCTGCTCTTCCTGTGGTCCTGAGTTCACTTCCCAGGAACTACATGGTGGCTCACACACCGTCTGTAATGAGATCTGGTGCCCTCTTCTGGTCAGAATACTGTATGCATAGTAAATAAATAAATGTTTAAAAAAATGAGCTGGGCAATGGCACACACCTTTAAGCCCAGTACTCTGGGAGGCAGCAACCGGTGGATCTCTGTGAGTTCGAGTCCAGTCTGATCTACAGAGCAAGTTCCAGGACAGGCTCCAAAGCTACAGAGAAACCCTGTCTTGAAAAACCAAATAACAAATAAATAAGTAAATAAATAAGTAAATGATTTAATCTTGAAGTCAGTATTTTTGAGTGACTTAACAAATGGCTCAGATGAGCAGTGGCAGTGCACACCTTTAATCCCAGCACTGGGGAGGCAGAGACAGGCGGATCTCTGTGAGTTCGAGGCTAACTTGGTCTACAAGAGCTAGTTCCAGGACATAGTCCAAACCCACAGAAAAACCCTGTTTTGAAAAACAACAACAACAAAAAATTGCTCTCAGAAAAGTTACAAGAAACAATTGGAACAAAGAGTTGGTGAGATAACTATATAATACTCCAGGTGACTATTTTCAAGAAAACAAAACAGCTATAAATTTCCTCATAGATATGACATATCTTAAACATACTCTAAGGGGTCCTATTATTAGAGTTAAAATCTTCATAGTGAGGCTAGAGAGATGGCTCAGCAGTGAAGAGCACACCTGCTCTTCCAAAGGACCTAGGCTTCAGTTCCAGCACCAACATGGCAGCTTACAACCATCTGTAATTCTAGTCCCATCAGATCCTGTGCTCTTTTCTGGTATCTGCAAGCACCAGGGTTTTTTTTGGTTTTGTTTTGTTAGTGTATGTGTGTGTGTGTGTGTGTGTGTGTGTGTGTGTGTGTGTGTGTGTATGTGTGTATGCAGGTAAAGCACCCATATACATAAATTAAAAAAAAAAACTTCAAACACTGGATGTGGTGGTACTCCCCTGTAATCCCAGCATTTGTGAAGCAGAGGCAGGCAGATTTCTGTGGGTCCGAGGCCTGCTACACAGCCAGGACTATGTATAGAGACCCTAACTCAAAAAAAAAAAAGCCTTATAGTGTTTCTATGACAACAGTACTTGCTTGTTTGTTCATTTTAGAAAATGTAAAGAAATTGCCCAGATTTGCTCAACTTCTGTGACAACAAAGATTCTTGATTCCACTGGTTCTTTTCTTTTTAAATTTATTTATTTTATGTGTATTGGTGTTTTCCCTGCATATATGTCTGTGTAAGGATGTCAGATCCTCTGAAACTGTAATTACAGACATTTATGAGCTGCCGTGTGAGTGCTGGGAATTGAACCCAGGTCCTCTGGAAGAGCAGCCTTAAACCTCTTAAACGGGGGCCATCTCTTCAGCCCACTTCCATTGGTTCTTGATTTGTATTATATTATTTGAATTGTTTTCTATATATTATCTGAGGCCCAACAGCTTTTTGTCTCCATCTAAACAGGCTCCTTGCTGAATGGATGGTCTATGGTTATCCCTCTGAAAATGTCTGGGAATTGGACTTGCAACGCTTTGGAACCCTCCAGAGCAGCCGCACTTTTCTGCGCCACCGGGTCATGGAAGTCATGCGTAAGTGTACCTTTATTCTAATTATAGTGCACTCAGCAATCTCAATCTCTCTCTCTCTTTAATTTTTTCCCCAAGACAGGGTTTTTCTGTAGCTTTGGAGCCTGTCCTGGAACTAGCTTTTGTAGACCAGGCTGGCCTCGAACTCAGAGAGAGCCACCTGCGTTTGCCTCCTGAGTGCTGGGATTAAAGGTGTGTGTCACCACTGCTTGGCTCCAGCAATCTTTTAGGTGGCCTACTTTATCATTCAAGGTTTTCCCTTAGCTCTCTAATAACTACTTTGAATTGGGTTTCTCATGTGGCTATTTCAGGTTTGAGGATAGGGACTCATGCCCCATTTGACCCTTAGGAACGTTTTCAGTTTATTAGACCATGCTTACCGCTAAGAATAGGAAAGTAGGATAGGATTTGCAGCTAGTATGTAGCAGTGTTCTGTTCTGTGTGTTGCTAGCAAAACACTCTTTTCAGTTGGCCTTGAGTACTGCCTCAACCCAGTTGGTCTAGAAAGGAAGTCAGTGCTTAAAACTGCTAAGATGCCGTTCCAACCCCCACCCCACCTTTTCTTTCTTATGGTATGGGAACTGAACTCCGTAGCCTCATGCAGGCTAGGCAAATGTATATCTACCTCAGTCCTTTGCTTTGTTTTTGAGTTTTTACTTTGAGTAAGGGTCTTGCTAAGTTGCTTCCCTAGTTACTTTGCTGTTGTTGTGAAGAGACATTATGACCAAGGTAACTTATTAAAGAAAGCATTTAATTGGGAGTATGCTTACATTTCAGAGGGGTGAGTCCATGACCGTATGGTGAGGAGCATGGCAGCATTGGTACTAGAGCAATAGCTGAGAGCTTACATGCTATTTGTAAGTTGGAGGCAGAGAGAGGGACACTGTGCCTGGTGTGGGCTTTTGAAACCTCAAAACCCACACCCAGTGGCATACTTTTACCAACAAGGCCAGACCTCCTAATCCTTCCCAAAACGATTCTACCAGCTGGGAACTTAACATTGAAATATATGAGCCTATGGGAATTCGAACCACAAGTTGCCCAGGCTTAGCTTGACTGGAACTCATTTAGTAGCCCAGGTAGTCCTTGAATTCATTAACCACTCAGGTCTCTGGGATTGTAAACCTGTGCTGCCAGGCTCAGATGACAGATTATGCTTAATCTATTCTAGCTCTGATTTACGATCTGAAGGTTCCCCGTTGGGACTTCCAGACTGGGAGGCAGTTACGTACATCTCCTCTTTATGACCGGCTAGATGCTCAAGGAGCCAGATGGATGGAGAAACATGGATTTGAGAGGCCAAAGTACTTTGTTCCACCCAATAAGGGTAAGAAGTGTCTGTCTGTCTCTTTGAAACAGAATCTCACATTTTAGCCTAGAACTTTGTATTTCGGGTTGGCTTTGAATCCTCATCAGTTCTCTTATTTCAACATCTTAAGAGCTGGGATTATAGGCATAAGCTACCACACTTGGTTTCGTGTGTGTGTGGTGTGTGTGTGTGTGACTCAAACTCAGGTCCTCATGATTGCATAGGCACTTTAACTACTGAATCAATTCCTTCTGCCACTTTTTAAACTGGTAATTAGTAAGTGCATAGAGCTAGAATGTCTTCCTGGAAGAGTTAAAAAACAAAGTCTTGTAGGCCGTAACATAATATATGGGGGATTCTTCAGTATCAAAACTCTTTCTTCCCACTTTGTTTTTTCCTGTTTCGTAGACCTTCTTGCCTTGGAACAGAGCAAGACTTTCTACAAGCCAGACTGGTTTGAGATTGTGGAGTCTGAAGTGAAGTGCTGTAAGGAAGCTGTGTGTGTCATTGACATGTCTTCTTTCACAAAGTTTGAAATCACTGTAAGTATTTGGGAAGCAAAACAGCAGGGTGGGAAACATTTCCTACTTATTGAGTGCTTGTTTTTATTTTCTTCTTTCATTTATTTTTCATTTTTTTTTTTTAATTTTATGTGTATGGTCATTTTGTCTGAATGGGTACCTATGCACCACGTGTACGCAGTGCCTGACAAAGCCAGAAGAGGGCACTGGAGTCCCCTGGGATTGGAGATACAGATATATGAGCTGCCAAGTGTGTGCTGGGAAATGACCCAGGTTCTCTAGAAGAACAGCCGGTACTCTTAACTGCTGAGTCACTTCTCCAGCCCCTAAATGCCTATTTTGTTTTTCTTTTTTGTTTTTTTGAGATAGGGTTTTTCTGTGTAGTCCTGGCTGTCTTAGAACTCACTCTTAGACCAGGCTGACCTCCCATTCAGAGATCTGCCTGCTTTTGCCTCCTGAGTGCCACCAGCCCAGCAAAGATAAGTTTATGTATATATATATATATATGTATATTTTGTCTGCATGTGTATTTGCACACCAGAAGAGGTCACTGAACCCCATGAGACTATAGTTATAGATGGTTGTGAGCCGCCCTCTGTGCTGGGAATTGAATTCAAGTCCTGGAAGAACAGTCAGTTCTCGTAACCACTGTGCCAACTCTCTGGCCCCCAAATGCCTATTTTTCATCGCTACTTTAAAACTGATTAAGGGGCTAGAGAGATGGCTCTGTGGTTAAGAGCACAGACTGCTCTTCCAGAGGACACGGGTTTAATTCCCAGCACCTACATGGCAGCTCACAACTGTTTGTAACTTGGAATATGATACCTTTACACTGATGCATATAAAATAAAAATTAAAAAAAATGATTCTGAAAGAATTCTGGACTATTTTAGTGGTTTATCTGTATAATTGTATTTTTCAGAAATTTTAGGTCCTATAACATAGTTTTTAATTCCCCTAGAATGGCCCATTTATCTTAAGTACTGAATGTTACCTTTACTCATGGCTTCTTACAAAAAGTAAACCTGCTAATAATGTCATGTGGATGTTGTGTCACTGAATTTTCTCAGCAAGGTGCTATGCTGGATGGTTATGCTGTTAGATGATCCTGTGTTTACTGTCCTTGTCTTTTCCCTTTCCTTACAGTCCACTGGGGATCAGGCATTAGAAAGTCTGCAGTACCTTTTCTCCAATGACTTGGATGTGCCTGTAGGCCACATTGTGCATACTGGCATGCTCAACGAATGTGGAGGGTACGAAAATGACTGCAGCATTGCACGCCTGAACAAACGCAGGTGAGTTTAGCTTCCATCCCTTCTGCTCTCTCCATTAAACTGATCCTTTAAGGACTCTGGAAACAGAGCACTCAGTGCTTCTCTGGAGCCCAAAGTCCTAGGTACTCAGAAACTATTTCGTAAACTTCATCTTAATCATTAGGCAACTATGAATAAATCAGCAAAGGCAAACAGAAACAAGAAACTCTTGTTAGGTGTGGTGGCTCATACCTGTAATGTCAGGAGTCTGAAGCAGGTTTACAAGTATAAGGCCAACTTGGGCTACATGAGGAGTTCTGGGCTAGCTTAGTCTATAAAGTGAGACTGTCTAAGAGCAGAAAACAAAAACAGAAATTATATTATGTAGTAAAACTGGATGTAGACATTTAGTTACCCTAATTGGAGAGTATTCTTTATGAATGTTAATAAGTCTGTGTAATTTTGCCACTATTGGTATAGAATCTAGAATGGTGAAATAGCCCTCCTTGAAAGGTAGGAGATTATTTCCAAGAGTGTTTTCAGTGGGACTCTGAAACTACATGAGAACTTGATTGGTCCTGATTCTTCTTCGGCCTTTTGGTTTTGACTAATTTTTTATGGGGGAAATCTCATTTTCAGTTTCTTCATGATCTCTCCAACTGACCAGCAGGTCCACTGTTGGGCCTGGCTTAACAAATACATGCCGAAAGACAGCAACTTGCTGCTGGAGGATGTCACCTGGAAATACACAGGTAATCAGCCTTCTGTGGTCAGACCAGTAAAGAAGCAGGTCTAGATTGTCTTCTGTATTACATCTACATTACTTATATCTGGCATTTACAAATGAGAATCAGAATTATTGTTAAAGAGACACTCTAGGGCTGAAGTTCAGCAGTTAAGAGCACTTTCTGTTCTTGTAGAGGACAAAGGATTCTGTTTCCAACACCCATGGGACAGCTCGCAATTGCTTGTAATCCCAGTTTCAGGGGATCTGATGCCCTCTTTTGGCACTCCATGTGTACTTGCATACGTGTGGTACATATATACATTCATGAAAGCAAAACACCCCTAGACGTAGAAATAAAAATGTCTTTGAGGCTGGGGAGAGATGTCTGTTAAGAGCACTGGCTGTTCTTCCAGAGCACCCGGCTCACTCACTCGCACCCATGTGGCATCTCACATCCAGCATTCTCTTCTGCCTTCCACTGGCACTGCATACATGTAGTGCACAGATATATGCAAAACCCCATGTGCATAAAGTAATCACACCTTTCACACCTTTAATCCCAACACTTGGGAGGTAGAGGTTGGTGGATCTCTCTGAGCTTGAGGTCAGCCTGATGTACAAAGCAAGTTCCAGGACGGCCAGAGTTGTTATACAGAGAAACCCTGTCTTGAAACACCAATTCTCACCCTTTCCCCTCTATCTTTAAAGCAAAACAGCCTTTTTTTTTTTTTTTTTTTTTTTTGATATTTGGATAATTGACCAATTGACTTTTGACTTCTTTTTTGAGTTCCATCCCTGGGAAGCACATGGTGGAAGGAGAAAACTGACTTGCATTCATCTATTTGAACCCATTCATCTCACCCAGGCCTTCATTCTCATTAGTAGCAATTATGATTAATTGTGTGCTTCTCACTTGTCCCACTACAGAAGTCTTTTTTTTAAAGATTTATTTATTTATTATGTATACAGTATTCTGCCTACATATATCCTATAGGATATCTTATCCTATAGGGTACCAGATCTCATTACAGATGGTTGTGAGCCACCATGTGGTTGCTGGGAATTGAACTCAGGACCTCTGGAAGAGCAGTCAGTGCTCTTAACCTCTGAGCCATCTCTCCAGCCCCAGAACAGTCTTAAACACTGGTTGGTTTAACAGTCTTAAACTAGGGCACTCACGTGTGATTCTGTCACAGACAGCAGAGTCTAGCGTGGGTAGACAGTTCTCCAGGTACTGATTTGGGATTGAGGCTATTTCTGCCACATAGGAGGGAAAGAGAACTTTACAGTACTTGCATATGGCCAGCCCTCAAAGTGTCCTCTTGGCTAGGCCTTGGTCTTATGACCCTAATCTCATTGCAGAGGAGACTATAAAATATGTCCTTCCTATCAGCTTGGGAGAAAACCACACGAGTCAGGCTCTTCACACCTGCCAGTCAGCAGCTGCATTTAGCAGGTCTGTCAGCAGAGATGTGTGTGCCTGAGCACAGGTACTTGCCGTTGCACCTCAGGTCCCTAAGTAAAGGGACACTTTATAAATCTCACCAGCTCTAGGCCAGGTCCTAGGTGAATGCGATGGTTAGTGTTAATGCCAATTTGACAAAATCTAGAATCACCTGGGAGAGAAATATACATGCCTATGGTGAATTGCAATATCAATTGAGGTAGAAAGAACTACCCACCGTGGGTGACACCATTCCCTGATGTGAATCCTATATTGTATAAATGGAGAAAGTGAATTAAGCAGTCAGCAGGGTTCATTTGTCACTGTTTCCCAATTACAGATGTCATGTGACCAACTGTTTCATGCTTCTAATGCTTTTGACTACCTGATATGATGGACTGACTTTGAACTGTGAATTAAAATAACTCCTTTAAGTTGCTTTTGCCAGTGTATTTTATCACAGTAGTAGGTAAAGAAACAAAGGAAGAGACCTTTTGCGCTGGCTCAGCTGTTCCCCTGGAGAAGCTGGACATCTCTTGTTCTTTTCCATATAGCCCTCAATTTGATTGGCCCTCGGGCTGTGGATGTGCTATCTGAGTTGTCCTATGCCCCTATGACTCCAGACCACTTTCCAACTCTGTTCTGCAAGGTAGGTGCTAGTAATCTAAATTTATTGTTTGTGATGGGAATCTCATGTAGTGCATGCTGGTCTCCAATTTGTTATGTAACTGAGGATGACCTTGTCCTTCTGATCCTGCTAGGATTGCAGGTGTGTATGGACTTGGTTTATATGGTGCTGAGAATCAAGCCATGGCTCCATGTATGTTAGTCAGGCACTCTACCTACTAAACCACACCCCTACCAGTAGAAGTTCTGTTTAAATGTTAGAAATTATTTCTTTTATAATGGTGGCGGGTTCTTTTTTTGAGGAGGGGGGTGTTTCAAAACAGAGTTTCACTGTGACTTTGGGACCTGTCCTGGAACTTGCTCTGTAGACCAGGCTGGCCTCGAACTCCCAGAGATCCACTTGCCCCTGCCTCCCGAGTGCTGGGATTAAAGGCGTGCACCACTCCTGCCTGGCTAAGATACTCTTTGAAGTACCTTTAATTTATTTGACTGTCAGATTTGTACGTTTATTAGTTTCTATAGCAGTTGGATTAAACTGGACAGTGAACACTAAAAGATAAAGGTAGATGAATGCCCACTGAGGTCAGACTCTTGGCTTCTTTTGTTTTTACTCACCAGTAACTTTTGTGCATGTGCCATCTTCAGGGAAGAAATGGTATCGCTGAACCCTAAAAACATACTCGACCAGTCCTCTGACACAACAGCTGAGTAACTGAGTGCTTTCCAGGAAGCCACTTGGCAACTTGTAACTTGATAATGCTCAACATCAGAAGTTCAAACCTGAGTTGAGATTTTCATAGCAAATTGGTTAATAATTTCCTCTGTTCTCCCAGGCAGAGAAAACTTCCATGTTAGTGAGCAGATCCCTTCACAGGCTTCTCTGTACTTTAAAGAATGAGCCAACCCACACCCTTTGCATGGCAAATGCCATGTCTTGTCAGATTCCTGTGAAAGAGACTTGTTTCAGTGCTGTCTCAGATTTACCACTCCCCTTCATAGAGAGCAGTTATATCAGGGAACTTTCCAAGGCAACTGAGCAGCTGTAACACAAGGAGCTGAACCTCTGGTCCCGGAGTAGATGGATGGTGTTCTTGGGCATTATCCTTTGTGTGGCAGATGCCCGAAGTTTGCTTGCAGAGTTCTCAGAGAAGACTCTTGATTAGTCTTTATTGTTCCTGATACTACTTGGCTAACTCAAGTATTTAAACAAGATTTGGTAAAGAAAAATATTTTGTACTTTGCAGTGACTATGCCACCGCTTCTCACCATCAGGTTACCTGAAACTGGAAGTGGTAGTATTCATAAGCAGAGATGTGGAGGCTGTGCTCCAGTTTCAGGACGAAATGCATTCCTTGGCTATATCTGTTAGGCTTCAGCAGAGGGTGGGCACTGACGGGTTCCCCCAGCACTGAGTCTCCTGACTAGCACGAGGGACGAGTGCTGACTGCTTGCTTTTTCTTTGCAGGAGATGAGTGTGGGCTATGCAAATGGGATCCGTGTGATGAGCATGACTCACACAGGAGAGCCGGGGTTCATGCTCTATATCCCCATAGAGGTGAGAGGTCCCTGTCTTCCTGTTTCAGGGCAGGGCTACCAGGTTCCCAAAATTCTTTACACTGCTGGAGTTGGAGTAGTGTGTCCTTCAAGTCCTGAGTAGGCTCCAGGAAAGAGGGTTTATCGTTTTTAGCAGTTAATGCTGAAGAGAGATGTCATTTTATAACTAAGAACTTGAGGGAGCACAGAATGCCCACATTCTTTCTCAGCATCCACATGATAGCTCACAACTGTCTTGTATCTCTAGTTCTGGGAAATAAGCTGCCCTCTTCTGAACTCCTTGGGCACCAGACACACACAGTACACATGCATATAGGCAAAGCACTCATATACATGGAATAGAAGTAAAGTGTTTAAATATCTTTAAAAAATAAAAACTTCGGGCTGGAGAGATGGCTTAGTGGTTAAGAGCACAGGCTGCTCTTCCAGAGGTCCTGAGTTCAATTCCCAGCAACCACACGGTGGCTCACAACCATCTGAAATAAGATCTGGCGCCCTCTTCTGGCGCACGGGCATACATGGAGGCAGAATGTTGTATACATAATAAAAATAAATAAATCTTTAAATTTAAAAAAAATAAATAAAAACTTGGCTGTGGATGTAGCTCAGTAGACTTGTATCAACTAGTATAAATGGTAGCACATGCCCATAATCCCAGCACTTGAAGGTAGAAGCAGGAGTTTCAGTCTGCCTGGGATACATGAGACCCTAGGGATCTCAAATACCAACACAGAGTGGGCTAGAGAGATGGCTCAGCTGTTAAAGGCTAGGCTCACAGCCCAAAAGTCAAACACTAACATTTTTTCTCAGTTTAAAACTTATGAAATTAGTTATAGATTAAAAACTGACCATCTCCATCTGACTAGTTCCCATAAACTAACAAGAACCTACTGCAATAGTAGTATTTTAACTAATTTCTAATCAATAATTTTGATGCATATGCAGAGTTCTTAGCACCTTTTGAGTTAACTTTTTTGTTTGATTTGAGATAGGGTTTCCCTGTAGCCCTGGCTGTCCTGGAACTTGTTCTATAGACCAGGCTGGCCTTTATCAGCCTGCCTCTGCTTCCCCAGTGCTGGGATTAAAGGTGTGTGTTACCTGCTTAAGACTTTGTTATTTTAATGGGTCTTGGGGGTCTCAGTATTATAGCCCAGACTGGCCTAGAACTCATGGTCCTGGTGTCTCTATCTCCTGAGTGCTAGGGTTATAGATGTACCACACATCTATATGCCTGGTTATGCCGGTTACAATTAAACTTCCCTATGAATGAAGCAGAATGAAATTGAAAGTCAGTCTGCAGAGCTGACAGTCTTCCATCCATCGTCTACCTTTTTCTGAAATTGGACTGTTTTTTCTGGAGCACTCATTTCTGCTAGTCTTGGAACATGGCTGGCTAAGCTGCTGCTTTGCTGCCTAATACTGTGCTTTCTTTCTGGCATGTTCTTCCATAAAGACATCTCTAAGCTCACTGCTGTTCCCTCTCAGGCCTCACATCATCCTCTCCCAACACATACACATTATAATTTTTTATTTTCAAAATATGTATATGTACCTTAATTTCTGTGTGTTGCACATGTGTGTGCAGGGACCTGAGGAGGCCAGAAGAGGGTGTGAGATTCCCTGGAGCTGGATTCACAGTGGTGACCTGATGAAAAGTTTTGAAGCACAAGTGCTTTTAACTGCTGAGCAGTCTCCCATCATTCATACCACATTCATACCACTTTTTTCTTGTTTGTTTCGTTAAGACAGGGTCTCACTGGGGCTGAAGAGATGGCTCAGAGGTTAAGAGATCTTAAGTTCAATTCCCAGCAACCACATGGTGGCTCGTAGCCATCTCTAATGGGATCTGCTGCCCTCTTCTGGCATGCAAGTGTACATGTAGAACACTCAGACATAAAATATAAATAAATAAAATTTAAAAAAAGATAGGATCTCACAATATAGCTCTGGCTGTCCTGAGACTCACAATATAGACAGCTAGGGCTTTTACACAGAGAAACCCTGTCTCCAAAAACAAAACAAAACAAAAAATTACTTGTGTATTCCTGAGATTTCCTTGTATAGTTTTTATATTCCATCACTCAAGGAAGTAGGTTTCACACAGTAAGTCATACTAGGTGTTTCCTTTGGAGATTTTTGGTCATATCTTTGTCCTTTGACCATCTACCTTCCCATCTCCCATCCCCCAGGACCAGGTCTGGCTTTGTAGCCCAAACTGGCCTCAAACTCTGTCTTCTTATATCAACCTGGGACTGTACCCACCTTATCAGGCTTCCTGTCTTATACCACAATGAACTATTTAATTTAGGCAGTATGTTTGGGGGAGGGGCATACCTGTGTCATGGTACATGCTGGAGGTCAAAGTTGATCATTTATTTCTTTGTTTGTTTATTTTTCGTTTTTGAGACAGGGTTTCTCTGTGTAGTCCTGGCTGTCCTGGACTCACTTTGTAGACCAAGGTGGCCTCAAACTCACTGAGATCCACCTGCCTCTGCCTCCCAAGTGCTGTGGTTAAAGATGTGCGCCACCACTGCCCGGTAAAGTTGATAAGTTTTGAGAATCAGTTCTCTTGTCACTTTGTGGGATCCAGGGGTCAAACTAACATGGAGGCACCAATGCCCCAGCCCCTGAGCCTGATCTTTTGTATCAGTTTAGTTGTTTATTTCCTACCCCGCCACACACACTTGTGGTCCACCATTGGAGGATAAGTTATGGTGGAAAATTGGGTATTTTTCCTGTATATATACACATGGAGTTCTGAAATGGGTATTAGGTCCCCTGGGATTGGAGTTAAAGATGATTGTAAGCTGCCATGTGAGTGCTGGGAATTGAACCCTGGTCCTCTGCAAGAGCAGCAAGTGCTCTTAACTGCTGAACCATCTTTCCAGCCCCTCTAGGTACTTTTTGTACATGATAATTTTTTCTAGGTTGTCATTTGATACATGGTATGGTGGTTTTTGCATGTATATTGCCCAGAATTGAACCAAGGGCCATGTGTATACTAGGCAAGTAGTCTACCACCAAGCCTTGTAACTGTTAGGAAAACTCTCTCTGAACTGAGCTATATGTCTTCAGCACCTTCAAGGTTTTATTTTTAAAATATGAATTTGTTCAAAATCAGCTGTTAAAAATGAAAAAAAAATCTTTCCTGCAGCCTATCCAAGAATCCTCAGGATGCATTGGTTGCTAACTTTCCTTCTCTTCATATAGTATGCTCTGCATGTCTACAATGAGGTGATGAGTGTTGGACAGAAGTATGGAATCCGGAATGCTGGATATTATGCTCTTCGAAGTCTGCGAATTGAGAAGTTTTTTGCCTTCTGGGGACAAGACTTAAACACCCTCACCACTCCCATGGAATGTGGAGGAGAGTCTCGTGTGAAGTTAGAGAAGGTATTTTTTCAGATCCCCCCCTTGTGCCTCTCAGCTGAGCAGTGTGATTGTCTAATAAGGAAAATCAGGAAAGACAGGGAAGTGCTGGCATCAGGTAAATCACAAGGAGGAGAGGAGACACTGTGGGATGCTCATCTTCCCATGGAATACACTTGCTTACACATCTTACTGCCCAGAGGGTGGAGGACACTGGCATAGGTTTTTTAGTTGATTGTGGTCATTCATTAATGTACCACAAGTATTTACTAAGTTAGTCATCTTACAGCCAACTTTTTTCTTCAAATATATTTTTAACTTTTAATTATGTGTATGCATGTATATCTGTGTGAGGTGTATGCATTTGAGTGCAGTTGCCAAAAGAGAGTGCTGGGTCCTCTATAAAAACCATGTATTTTTAATTTCTGAGATCTCTCTCCAGCCCTAGGCGGCGGCATCATCATCATCATCATCATCATCATCATTATTATTGTAGTTCAAGAGATTATTCTATGAATTCTTTCCCACCTGTGAACCTCATCCAGTGTCCTGCCCCTTTGGCTTCTTAGAAGCTAAGTTTGTTTCTGTTCTATAGTGTAAGCATGGCACAAGTTTGCCAGTGTATGATTCCCTTCCTACTTTTAACCTGGCTTTATTCACGACAATGTATTTACGCAGTTCCCTGTCAGTATACCTGTGGTTTGCTTGCTTTCTTTTCTGAGACAGGGTCTCACTATGTAGTCCTGACTGGTCTGGAACTTCCTACGTAGACCAGGCTGTCCTTGAACTCAGAGATCCACCCCAGCCTTTCTACCTCTCAAGTGCTGAGATGTAAGGTGTGCGCCATCATGCCCAGCTATAGTATTCCTTTGGCCACTGCGTATAGCTAGATGTAAAAAAATACATGCATTTTTTTTGTGCCATGAAAGTGTTGATAACTTATTAAAATGACCTGTATTTTAATTAGAGATAATTACTATTAGGTTTGTTCACCTGTATATATGTATATACATTGATACACATAGATGCGTGGACTTTTAGTTGAAAATACACCAAGGTTACCTCTAACTTTGTGGAGTTGGTTCTTTGCTGCTGCCTTTAAATGGGTTTTGGGGCTCTAACTCAGGATTCTAGGTCCTGCTTGAGCCATCTTGACATTCCTCTAGCAAGTATTCTTGATTAATTTTTCAATATTCCTTTCTAATATCTTTTATTTCATGTAAGCTTGTGATTGAAATCTGTAAACGGAGACTGCTCATTCATTTCCTGGCCACCCAGACCTGACACAGAAACTATATTAATTGCAACACTGTTTGGCCAATAGCTTAGGTGTATTACTAGCTAGCTCTTACATCTTAAATTAACCCATTTCTATTAATCACCATGTGTATCACCATGAGGCTGTGGCCTACTGGTAAGGTTCTAACATCTTTCTCCTTCGGCAGCCACATGGCCTCTGCCTGACTCTGCCTTCTTTCTCCCTACATTAAGTTTAGTTTCCCCACCTAGCTCTATTACGCCCTGCCATAGGCCAAAGCAGTTTCTTTATTAATCAATGGTAATAAAACATATTCACAGCATACAGAGGGGAATCCTACACCAGAGATCCATTTAAAGAAGCGTGCACTTTTGCTGTTACAAAAGTTCATCTGGTATCTCTGTTGTAGATGCAGATTTCACAGTGCCTGAAACATCATTTTCCAAAAGCTAGCAGGAATGAAGGGTATATATGTGTATGCATCTTTCCATTGCATGTACCCGCTTGCTCCCCACCTTCACATGCCAAGAACTGTCATGGAGACTGGTATCTCAGGCTTTTTCCCCTTTTCTTTTTAGGGCATAGATTTCATCGGTCGGGATGCCCTGCTGCAGCAGAAGCAGAATGGGGTGTATAAACGCCTTGCTATGTTCATCCTGGATGACCATGACACAGACCTAGACTTGTGGCCTTGGTGGGGAGAACCCATTTACCGGAATGGGAAGTATGCTGGCAAAACCACCAGTAGTGCCTATAGCTACACTCTTGAGCGCCATGTATGCCTGGGTTATGTACACAATTTTTCTGAGGACAATGGGGAAGAACAGGTGGTGACGACAGATTTCATCAACCGAGGAGAATATGAAATTGACATTGCAGGACATCGGTTTCAGGCCAAGGCCAAGCTCTACCCTGTCACCTCCTTTTTCACTCACAAGCGTAGGAAGGATGATGTGGAGCTGAGTGACTTTCATGGGAAGTAATGCCAAGACATTGTCCCTTCCTCCCATTCTCTCACCCTGAAGAGCATCATTCTGGGAGCTTTTCCCTTCATCCCTGTCTTCTTACTGAAGGTATCTTTGTCCCCTCTCTTTTCAGATTGACCTACTTTAAACATTTTCCTTGAAAGCCTTTTTTTGTCCTCCCATTTCCTTTCATTTGCTGTTACCCCTCCTCACAGTCCAGGCTCTTCTCATCCCTCCAGCAGGCCACAGTCCCACAGTGGAAGGCAGGAGCCACTTGTGGAGTTAAGGTGATAAACTGATTTTTAAATTCATCTTAAGGCAAGTTGGCATTATTTCTTAGGGCAGAATCCAACTCCCCTGGGCTGGGGTTCTTAGAGTAATCTGCTAATTTTAGTAGATTACTGTGTGTCTGCTGTGGCCCTGGGAACAGCTTCTATTTTAAAAGGCAGATGATTCTATTCCACTGTGCTGTAGGGTGCCACCAGGTACCTCTTAACCATCTACCTCACTGATGAGAGGGATTGCATGGACACTGCCTGCTCTGTGGAAGGGACAAGTAGTTAATCTGGTCCCCAGCCCTCCAACTTTTTCTTTGATGTTTGGGCTAGGGCCACCTGTCTGCAATATTATTTCTGCTATTTTGTATGAGATTGTTTGTTTTTTAGCTGAGTAAACAAGTGTGCCAGTATTTGAAAGGAAAAACAAACAAAACAAAACCCATATTGCCTTTTGTGTTGCTTTTCCCAGCAGGAGCAGTGTGAACTCCAATGCTGAGTTCCTATTATCAGAGAAGTGTTGTTTTTCTGTCAGCTACTCATAGGTCAGCTAGCTATCCTTGATTTTCTTCAGATGGCTTCTAGCCTCACCTGTGCCTTGTGTAGTTTGCCTATGACCTCAACATTCATTCCTATCCCTTTAGAAGAGAGAGGATTGTGTGGGTTGTCCTGGGTGAGTAAGTAAACCATGCTGTTCATACTGCGTTCCAGAGAGCTACCAGAGCCTCAGGCTTCCCATCGCTGGCATGAACAAAGCCACATACAGATGGCCATTGAGAGCTGTAAGTACAGTGCCGGCCAGAGGCTGCTTTCCAGCTCTTCTTTCCCGGCTCCCCACTCTCACCCCATAGAACCTCTGGAATGGAAAGTGCCTGGAGTACTCACCAGATGTGCACCACACATTTCAAGGGTACTGTTGCTTTCTTTCTGTGATACGGTTTCTCATTGGAGTTAAGGCTGGCCTCAAATTTGCAGTGATCTTGCCTGAGTCTCCTGAGTACTAGGATTTCAGGTGTGGGGACAGGATGTTTTCTGAAGGTAAAGCTTGGATGGCAGGCTGTGCTATGTAACACCAGCACTTAAATTTTCTTCTGTATACAAACTGACTCAGTCTGCACTTGAGAACCTTTAATTCGATAGTAGTTCTCAGTAACTTGGAAACATTGGTTCTGCTAAATTTACATTACTAGAAATCTTTCACTTCATTAGAGCAGCTCAAAAATCTCAAGTGTTTGTCATTTCTGTGGAATCTGTTATCTACTCAGACTGGTTCTTTTTATACATTTCTTGCTATTTTCTCTAGCTAGGCTACTCCTATTTGGCTTCTGAGAAGACTTTAACTGACTTATTAAAGGGCACACGATTAGAATTTGGTGTGAGGGGAAATTGCTATTTTGGAGGAAATGTGTGTATAACTCTGCTAGAAAGCTGAGCAAAGCAGCAGCAGCAGCAGCAGCAAGCCGTTGAGATCAAGAGCAGGCCCTTGGCTGACCTGTGAAGATGAAAGTAGAGATGCACAACTCCAGGGATCTGTGCTCTTTGAAATATGCTTGTAAGGCTGCACAGTCTGAATGAAAGCTGACTTCAAATTGAATACAATTTTTGCCCTTTTAACTTTTGGAAGTGTTACCACTTAAGTTCCAAATTGGGGCAGGGGGCCTTCCAAAACAGTAATAGTTTAAAATTGGGTTTCACCACCAAATGTCATCAAGAGTATTTTTAGCATAGACTGATATCTTCTCTGTACTTGTTAATCTCTAGTTACTTAATTAACTGTCCTTTCTAAGTAGGAAGGAAAGTGCTGTATTTAAAATTCTATAGTGGCTTTTGGGCTGGAGAGATGGCTCAGAGGTTAAGAGCACTGGCTGCTTTCCAGAGGTCCCAAGTTCAATTCCCAGTAACCACATGGTGGTTCACAACCATCTGTATGAGATCTGGTGCCCTCTTCTGGCCTGTAGGAGTATGTGCAGACAGAATACTGTATGCCTAATCAGTTGATCTTTTAAAAAATTATAAATAAAATTATATAGCACCCTTCCTAGTAAATGTTCAGCTAGAAGTCCTGGCTGTTGCTGATATCAACTTTTGAGCTTACAGACAGTTGCTTGTCTTGCTAGGAAGACATGAGACGGACTGAGAGTGGGCACACAGGGCTGTTTTGAAATGCCTTCTGGGTGGGGGGTCATGGTCCTGTTCCTTCAACTGTGATTAGGCATTGAATTTTCTGAGTTGCCGCTTGTTTACTGTGTACCCCAAAACAAAATTATATTTGGCACTAAATGCATTTTTAGAATTTCTATTGGCCATTCAAACATAAATAATTACAAATCTGACACCTCTCCCATTTTGCCCTGATATAAGTGCTTTAAATAGACTTTTCTCTTTTACTAAGCCTGCAGCTTTTCCTATGCTTGGTGTCATAAGCACCTTAGACAGTCAAGGGGACCATTTAACCAGAAACACCTGACTCCCCCCCCCCCCCCCCCAGTGTTGATAGAGCATTCTGGGCTCCTCAGGAGTAAATACAGGTTGTTAACAGAATTGCTAGTCTAGAGCAGTGGCACTCAACCCGTGAACTGCAGTCCCATTGAGGTCAAACAACCCTTTCACAGGGGTTGCCCAAGACCATCAGAAAACAGACATTTACATTACAATTCATATCAGTAACAAAATTACATTTATGAAGTGGCAGTGAAAATAATTTTATGGTTGGGGGTCACCATGACATGAGGCACTGTATTAAATGTTCACAGCATTGGGAAGGTTGAGAACCACTGGTCTAGAGGCATGACTGAAAATCCAGGAAGAACAATCGCTGTACATCCTCAGTTGTGTGACATTTTGTGACAGTACAGTTTGGGGAGTCAGTTAGTTTAAGGGAATGTAAACACTTCAGCTTAAGGTGACAGATAATCACCTTAATAATCTGTTGTCACAGAATAATCTGTTGTCACATCTACTTACCAGAGATGAGGAGTTCCATGTTCTCTTCTTTGATTTATAGTAGCAATTAAATCTCTTTGAACAAGGTAACAAATTATATTGAAGACCTAGGATTGGGAGTTTTCTGTGAGCCTTGAAATGTCATGAAGATATTCTTTCCTCTTAGTTGTTCATCACACAAAGCCTGTTTCTCAGTACTACCATAGCCATCTAAGCTTGTAACAGTTCCCTTCTGTGACATAGGTACTGAACTTAGAAGAAGGGACAAGGAAGAATGGCGTGATTAGTCTTCTGTGAGCACGCTCACTGACTTTAGTTCTTCCATGGGTCCTAGGACACAAGATCATTAACACAGCACTAAACCCTAGCTTCAGCCTGGTCTCCAAGAGCCACTTGTGCAGCAGTGGAGTGCAGCCCCTTGTTGGGAAGTACACTAGCTCTGGCCTGTCTCTTCTCTATGCCTAATGTATTCTGGGCTGCTGTGTCCAAGAAAAGTAACTAGGTACGAAAAACAATTTATGAACTTTAGGATCTGGTTGGCAGTGGCAGAATGAATTAACAGATAGCAGGAACTGGAGACTCACAGCTTTGGTTTTCTGGTTGCTAGCATCTGGAAAGACTTCACTGCCCTTGGGGAGAACTGTGTGCCTTCTGGTGTTGGTACTAGCCCTGGCAGTCTGTCATGGAAGAGCAGTTGCATCATCCTGTTTGCAAGGGTGGACTACAGATTTCATCTGTCTATCTCTTACTTCTTAGCTTCTTCAAGGGTATCAGGTTTATAACATTTAGTGCAGAGAAGAATGACGTGTCATTTTTCATTTTCTGATCCCAACACCCCCACTTCACAAATGTTGAGAAGTAGCATAGTATCAACACAGCACAGGTCCATTTCTCATGGCTGAACAATGCTGACGTCGTCCTTATGTCTGTAGACAGAGTGAGCATCAGCCAGTGAGTAGGAGAGGTCTGAGCTGTAGCTGTGCCCTGTGCGCATGTTAGAAATGGTAAGTGAGCTGGGGCCTCCCCTCTCCCTCTGCCTGCACTTTTGGTCTCCTAGGTGCTGATCTGTAAGCCCCCATTTTCATGCAATATGGGGCTTCTGCAGTTCCTCAACAGTATCAACACACTGTTCTTCACAAGGATTGAGTGTTTCACACATCTTTGCCTTTTCTTAGTATGTTAAACTTCAGCATTTTTCTAAGAATCCTAACCTCTCTAAGCAGTTGTCTACATCTGAATAATTATATACATTTTTCCTCATATTTGATTCACTTGTTTTTATTCTTTGCAGACATCTACCTCCTTGTCTTGTCTGTGAGGGACAGATTACAAGAGGAGGGGAAGTTATCTTTATCATGTTTCAAAACATCTATGCCAGGATTTCCTTTGCACACTAAGAGCTGAAGCTTTGAGTACTCTCAGCCTAGGTCTAGTGCCTTACACTCTAGAGTCCAGTAGTGGACTGGGGTAGGAAGGAAGAATGTTCGGTTTGGGTTCTCATCACCCCATGTCAGCCTCCTTCCTCAGAATAGTCTGGGTGTGGGGTGAAAAGTGCATAGCTTATCTCACTGAAAGCTTCTCTAAGTTCACACTCAACTCTCCGTTCAGTGCTCAAGATATAAACATCATTGTGATTACCATAAAGTTCTGTACATTTGCATTCAGTGTGACTCAGCTCGGCCCCTTCTGTCCCTGTGTATGTCAGTGTGTGGTCCTGAGGACGCGCTAGATGTTGGAGTAAATAGACCTTTTCCCAAGAGCAGATTCAGCTGACTTTGGACACATAGGGTGGGTAACTGTGCATTTCATGGCCAGAATTATTTCTGGATGGCTGGATTTGAGGTTTTCATGTATTAGGTATATAAATGAATAAAAGTGTTTTCATAAACTATTGCTGTGTCCATTTGTGAAATGTCCTTTAACCTGGTTACAACATGGTATTTGCTTGCCTTCTCAAAGGATAACATCTGTGATGCTAAGAGGTTTAGAACATAACCCACTACCACATACATGTAAGCAAACCCATGTTCGTGTAAAAGAGGGACAGAGGGCACTAGCCAGCTGTAGAGATGGTCAATATAAAAATTCTAAAATGATGTAGGTAAAACCTAAATGTGTCCAGACTTGCAAAATTTCTCTGGCGGGAGTAGGTGACTGAAGTGACGTCTGATGTGGGGGCAGAAGTCGATGCATTCGACTCACTCCCCACCCTCCTCTCCCCACTCTCCTTTATAAGTTCCAGAAACCTTGCATGACTGATGTCAAGATTTGTCCTCAGTGGTTTCTCAGAAAAATGGTAAACTTGGGTACAAACTTGGATTGCTTGGAGAGACGGCTCTGAGATTAAGAGCACTTACTATGAAGAGGGCTAACAACATCAATGCAGCCATGACGGGCTGCAGCCCACAGTACTGGGACTGGGCCTCACCATTGCAATAACCAGGAAAAGACACAGACTATACCCTGCAGGGGGCCAATCAGAATTGAGACAAGTACTACTAGAGATGCTCCAGAACATTAAGGATAGTTTACCTAATTTGTATATAGGTTACCAATTTCCTTGCAGTAATGCCAGTACCAATCCCTGTTTGACAAGGGTCAAACTTCACTCATCCTGCCTAATCAGGAGTTCAACCCTCATTTGGATCCAGAATTCCCTTAACGCCCCCATCCTTTACTCCTTAAAATCCTGCCTTAGCTGAGCTTAATGCTCTTCCTAATCCAACCCGTGTGAGAAGGAGAGAGCGCTCAAGTTTAAACTGACAATAAAGGCCCTATGCTTTTGCATATGATGAGACCTGGAGGTACACCATCTTACTCAAACATCTTGCCAGCCCACACTTCTGTTTTTTTTTTAAATCTAAAAATAAATTTTACAAATGTTTTACCTGCATTTATGTATGTATGTGTACCATATGTGTGGTGCCCAAGGAGGTCAGATGTTGACTTCTCTGGAACTGAGCTAGAGCTGGTTGTGAGCTGCCATGTGGGTGCTGGGGGCTGAACCCAGGTTCTGGAAGAACAACCAGTGTTCTTAACTCCCAGCCCCCTATTTTTATTACTATTTTTTTTATAAAGATCTATCTATCTATCTATCTATCTATCTATCTATCTATCTATCTATCTATCTATCTATCTATCTATCTAT